GGTTAATGCTGGAACTGGACCCCAGAAACTTCATCTCTGAGTCAAGTTAGCATGTTTTGAACTGACATGTTGGTTCTCTCTGCTCGTCGGCTGGTGAAGCTGGAAGGATGGCCTGGCCTTCTGCGCCCTGATTCATAGACACAGACCCGACCTCCTCGACTACTCTAAGCTCAACAAGGTGTCGTGTGGTTTCACTTGTAACCAGGATGCTGTGTTTCAGCCCCCAAACACTAACAGACTGATCTCCGCAAAATTAACACCACTCCACGGTGTGAACTGATGCAAACACACTGAATGCAGAATAATGGCACTTTAGGCTACTTTGTATGACCTGTTGACTTATGTTGTGAAGGAAAACTATATCTAGGACTGCAGGTGTATGCCATCTTTTTGAACAATTTCATCTTTCCTCTGGCAAAGAGTTACTTTCAGCGCTCACCTGGTTGCCTGTTTTGATTATTACTAGTTATCTTAAGTAAAGGGAAGTGTTTGATCAAGTGAGGATAACAAAATATAGCAGTTTGAACTTTAAGGAGTTCGTTGGGACTGTTGGTACGATTTATGGCACTTTGGGATACACTTAGAAATATGTGACATTTCATAGCACCAGCTCCATGTTGTTTACAATGCAAATGATTTGATCTAAAAGGTGAATGCTGTAATGTTTGCTATAGATAAAGTGTGTTATTTGGCTAATGGATGTAATGCTGCTTCAATCAATGGATGTGCTTCTTCAGCAGAAGGATTTTATACTAAGTGCATTCATTTAGTCTCACCTCATGCTTCATTATTCTAAAGCAGTTTACTTGGTACATAATTTCAGCATAATTAGCATGAAAAAAACATTGCTTTAGTTTTTAAGTCTCTTTATTTGCGCACCCCACTGTGCCCTGATTACAACTTTGGATTTAATGGTGGGGATATGTGGCCTCTTTCCTATGACACAAACCTGAAGTGATGAATATGCAAACCAAAGCGTGTCTACCTTTTAAATTATGCCAAATGAATCCATAGTTTGACTTTCCTCATCCAGCATATTGCTGTGTGCATGCTACTTGAGCTTAAATGGTTTTCAGGGTAAACAAATACACAGCTCATTTAAAGTGAGTTGTGGTGTGTATTTGGAGAGCTAGTGAGAACAGCTGACAGCCTTACTGTGTTTGTCAAATAACAATAATGCACAAGTACGGCACACTTTCCCTCCTGGAAGAAGGTGCTGTCTTAGCCAGACGGGAATGCCAAGGCTGCTGTGGGAATATTTGAGGCTTCTCTCCTCCGCTGACTGAGTAAAAACTGATGATAGAGATTTTTTTCCTTAAGGTTTTGGAGTGATTTTATCCGATGAAGGCTTGAAGCACGTACAAAAAAATCAAACCTTGTATTCATGAGAAACCAAATTGCTGAGCTCAAAACAGAGAATTTGACTTTACCTAGGCCAAATTTGGCCCGACACTTGTGTATAGTGGGGAAACTCCATGGCTGTTTTGGATCATTTGTTTTGGACACAGAAGCACTCACTTTCAGCACACACCTCACTGTCCTGACTTGGAGTTGACCCTGAATAGTCAGAGAAACATGAGCCTAGTCCCTGCAGAGCTCAGGCTTAGCTTTACCTCTACTATTGTCCACTCTGTCACGTCGTGCTCCCCTGTTAGAGACTGCCGGTCTTCATGAAAGACAGGAAGATGTGGTTACTGTGATTTGTTAAGTATAACAGCAAGGATGATGTTGATTTTTATAATTAGGAAAAGGGCACTCAAAGTAAATATGAGTGATAAGGCCCACACATACAAACCATATCTATTTATCTCTACTGCTTTTTCTCTCCTTCAATCTCTTTGACATACATACTCACACATTCAGTCACACTTTGACTTTTCAGTTATGCTCATGCTGCCAGGAGACAGTTGCATTGTGTGCCAGGCAGCTGTTGAGTCTGGCTCCAGGTGAGCGTGTTCATTAAGCTTGCAGTTTTATAGCCGACTGAGAGAGCTCTGGTCAGGGAGCGCGCACACACAGGCCTTGGGGTATCCTTCTATCCATCCCTCCATCCCTCTATCCCGTCATCAATTTACCACCCTATCTATCCATATCTCTGTCCTGCACTGGATCTGTGAGCAGCTGGCCCTGTCATGTAGTGTGCCAGCCCCCATCCCCCTACCATTGTGGAACGGTGGTACAGAGATAGGGACAATAGCAGCAGCATGATAGCATGATCCCTTTACCCCACTGTACTCACTCACCTCACTGACTGTCCCATTAGCGGGAAGGGGTTTACTGTCAGCTGTTGGCCTAATGCACCACTCCCACTCCGTTAAAACACTTGGTTTCTCCTGTCAGAGTCATTTGTGTGAAAAAGCTAACTTCTTTGATTAAATCTGTCATTTCATGAAATACATCTTGTGTATCTGTTAGTCGATTCATTTACAACAATTTTTCATAATAATATAGTCACTATAAAACAATAAACATCAAAAGATCAATTGCTTAACTGAGATCACTACTTGTAATAATCATTTGATGTAATTTGTAGTTAAAAGCTAAACATGTACAAAAAGTTATTCATGTTATAGATTTGAGAAATAAAAAAAAACAACAAGTATTTTTATCATTGAGACTGGTTTCATGTACTAAGGATAAGTCCTTACCGCAGTGGCTCCGGTTAAATTCCAGCTCGCTGCCCTTTGCTAAATTCCCCCCCCCCACCTCTCCCTTTTCCTGTCTCTTTAGTTTCACTATCAAATTAAGTAAAACAAAAAGACCCCAAAAATAATTAACAAACAAACAAACAAAACTAAACATATAGTAATAAATATAATATTAAATATAATATTTTCTGTGTTTTTGTGGAGCAACTCTTTCAAATGTAAATTCAAAATGAGTGCATGTATAGTAGGGGAGTGTGATGTGTCCACCATAGCATGGAGGTCAGTGCAGTGGCATTTTAAGTCCAGCATTGCTGTTCAGTGATGTCGAATTGCGTTTCTGTATTTAGGATGATCCTCTGGGGAACCTGAACCTGGCTTTTGACATAGCCGAGAAACACCTGGACATTCCCAAAATGCTGGACGCAGAAGGTAATATTTATGGAATAGATGTACCAGATATGAGTTTCAAGATTAAAAATGTTAACTTTCTCGCACACTGTTTTATATACATGTGTATATATATATATCATATGTGTTTGCTATACGAACTTCACTCTGTGTGTATGAGGCTATTTTGTATTTTTTTCTGAAGTCTATTTTAGTCTTTATGACACTTGAAGTAGACTTAAAATGGATGTGTTGCTTCTGTCTCCTTCCATTTTTCACTTTTTGGATTATTCCTTTCTGCCACCTTGACTTTTCCTCCCTCTCGATGCTGTAGATATCATCAACACCCCCAAGCCTGATGAAAGAGCTATCATGACCTATGTGTCCTGCTTTTACCATGCTTTTGCTGGAGCTGAGCAGGTATAGTGATTGAACTTACTCCCTTACTAAATTCAACCTTTTAGATAAGATTTAGATATTTATTTTGAAAACAGAGTCAAGTGCGTAAATCTATTGTCGGTTTGATTGTGACATTACAGTTTGAACAATACATTTATTATGAGGATGCTGTTATTAGAGATATTGGAAGGATCAATGGGAGTGTGGCCCACTGTGTTACTTTGTGCTCTCAGGCAGAGACGGCTGCCAACAGGATCTGTAAGGTGCTCGGTGTAAACCAGGAGAATGAGAAAATGATGGAGGAGTATGAGAGACTGGCCAGTGAGGTAAAGCAGTTTTCATATATATATATAATCTGATACGTATTACACTAAATCTTGACATTAAATGTATCAGCTGATAACCTTCTCCTGAAAATGAATAATTCACACTCTTAACATCTTAACACGGAGCTCTCTTGCCTCTCCACTCATTCCCATGTTGTCCTTGTGTTTCCCAGCTGCTGGAGTGGATACGACGCACCACTCCCTGGCTGGAGAACCGGACTCCAGAGAAGACCATGGCTGAGATGCAGCGGAAGCTGGAGGACTTCAGGGACTACAGACGCCAGCACAAGCCCCCTAAGGTGCAGGAGAAGTGCCAGCTGGAAATTAATTTCAACACCCTGCAGACCAAGTTGCGCATCAGCAATCGCCCTGCCTTCATGCCCTCTGAGGGGAAGATGGTATCTGTAAGTCATGACTCCAAAATCTTGCTTGTAATTCAGCAGTCAAAGAAGTGTTCATGATTGTGTGCACCACTGTTTATGTCAAGGCTAATGGCAAACGCTTCAGAGGTTCTGACGGTCTACCAACAGAGGATTATTAGTGCATCTTGCATCTTCAAACAATGAACTGTGATTTTTAATTCAGGACATAGCTAGTGCATGGCAGGGTCTGGAGCAGGCAGAGAAAGGCTACGAGGAGTGGCTCCTTACAGAGATCCGTAGGCTGGAGAGGCTGGACCACCTGGCTGAAAAGTTTCGCCAGAAAGCCACCAATCATGAGAACTGGGCCAGCGGTGAGTTATAGTTTGGCTTCTTAACTGTGTGCGTGCTTGCTTTTCTATCTACCTCTCACTGCTACAGTATGTTTATAGGTCTTGACTTGTTAGCTACACGTTTACCTCCAGGCACCTCTATTCCTGCTTCTCTGCCTGATTTTCATTGTTCAAGTATTTTCTTTAATCTTGTGGTTTGTTCCTAATGAGATTTGATTTAATGTTTTACAGTCTGTTCAATGCAATAAGTCTGTTAGACTGCAACAGGTCATTTTCTTCATCAGTCCTGACCAAATAAGGCCTGTGTTTGAATCTAACCCGCTAATCAACTTGTTGTTCCTCTCTCTTTGCATATGTGTGATATTCAGGTAAAGAACTGATCCTTTCCCAGAAGGACTATGAAACAGCCACCCTGACAGAAATCAGAGCATTGCTTCGAAAACACGAGGCCTTCGAGAGTGACTTGGCAGCCCACCAGGACAGAGTGGAGCAGATTGCAGCCATTGCACAGGAACTAAAGTACGCACTCCATTTAGCAGACGTTTGCAATCATGGGTGATGGGGGCCCAGGAGTACGTTGACACTCCTGCCAAACACAGCACAAGGGGAGATCTAATAGCACAATCAACCAATGCAATCTTATTTTTGTTTTGGTGTCTCTTTTTTAAATATTATTTTAATCACATTTTGGCTTTAGACCCCGTATAACCTACCGGGGTGACTGCCTGAATAGGTTATGGATGACAAACAACAAAGGACATGTGCATGACACAACACTGCACTCACATAAATTATGCAACAGTTCAATGGTCCCAAAAACGTCCTGTTTCAGGAGTGCAGAAAACAATATGAAACAATATAAACTCACTGTCTCTAAAGTGTGATTTGCCACTGGAAAAAAAGTATTCATGAAAACCCTCTTCTTCTAAGTGTATCTTAATAGAAGGGAGGAGGGTGTGGTTTAAAGGCATGCTGACATTTGCAATCAGCAGTCAGTGATGAACACCTGTCCATCGTTACCTTCTCAGTCTGGGATTGGCCACAGAGTATTTCCTGTTTCATTTTTAACCGATGCTCTGAGAGAGGAAGATAACATTTCAGCTGACAAGCAAAATGGCCATGTGGTTTCATCCAAGGTATGTGCTGTTTAAATCACTGTTTTCCTGTTTGTTTTCTATTAATGGCCAGTTTATTTGACTTGAATTTTTGACCATGCTGTTTTCTTTTCCAGTCAGTTGCTCCTCATTGCACTGTTGAGCTGGAATGTCCATTCGTTTCCTGCTAAAAACAGTAAGGTTATCACTTTACAGAGACTATAAATTGTTAAGACACACGTTACTTTAAATATTGACTTGTTTTTTTTTCTTAAATTTTACCACAATTTCCCCTGACCCAGGCTGGAGCTGGCGTTCTCCTGATGAAGGCAGTTTCACTAACATGGAGATGCCTCCTGGTTATTCATTCCAAAGTGCTCCTGCGCTACCTTCCAGTGCAATTTACCCTGCTGTTTCCTTCCCATATGAAGGAGTGAATACTAGTCCTGTAACGTATCCAGCAAGCCCTACTCCAGACATGTCCAGTATAGGTTCACAAGTACGCTGGGTACTTCCTACTCCTGCTTGGGATCCTGTGGAAGAGTCTGCAACTCCCTACACTGAGTCCAGAACATCTCAGCCCATACCTGATAGCCTTCCTCCACCTTTGTTTCAGGCAGGTGAGCTTGATACCTATGAACTGAACTCAGAGATTGGTAACTCCGAACATGAAACTGAGGAGTCAAGCTTAATGCCACCACCTCCTCCATATCCAGAACCTGATTTTCAGCCTGGTGAGTTGAGTAAATATAACTACATCTTTGAGCATGGAAATGCAGAGAGGGAAACTGAACAACAAGGATACATGCCCCAACCTCCCTATGCCTCAGCTGCACAGGGAGCTGAAGAGTTGTCGTCTGCTTCCATGTCCGAACTCCCCACGCAGCCAGTCTCTGGAAAAATGCAACCACTTGACCTGAATTACTACCTCTTCTTGACCGGTCAGCTTCCTCCTGGCACACTCACTCACTTCCAGAAAACTTATGAGTCTGGCATAGACGACTGGGCTGAAGACCATTATGAGGGATATGATCCTATGGCTGAAAGTCCAACCATCCCCACTCAGACAAAGGAGTTTCCCAGTGATGGACTTTGGCAGCAGCCCCAGTTCTATTCCAAAGCTTAACCAGGACTGTAAGCCTTGTAAACCAACTTGAAGCACGTCAGGGTAAAGACAGTTGTAGGGTCCCTGCAGTCTACTAAATGTGTACTTGTCTGTGTTCCAGTTGCTTGTGACTTCTAAATAAAATGTTTGAAAACTAAACTGTTTCCTTTTAATGTGGGTATGCCACATTAAAGTCTGGGTCTCTCACTTGACAATTTACAAAAAAAAAAAAAAAATAGCATTGTTCAACTAGAGGACAGTATCTCTGGAACTGGATTTAAAAACTAAGATCCCAACACGATGGAGCACATCGTTGTTGCGAAGTTGGCTGTAACTGACAATCTAAACTCATCCTGGTAAATGGTAGCACCTACATGCTAGTTGCAGCTTAAGACAATGGTGTAGTCTTTTGGCTTGAAGGATTGTTTGTGCTCATGCCTGAGCTTAAAACTGTATGAGCCTACAACTTGAGGTGAAAATTAAACTGAGGTTAAGTCTGAAATTGGTTTGCAGTCATTGGACTGTTGCCACATTTGCCTTTCCAGCACAATGAAAAGGGCCTGTTGTGAAGCTGTAACTTCAGGTTTTTATTTAGTAAGCATTTAACTTGTACAGCTGCATTTGTACATGTGGTTTTATTTCTCATGGCAGTGCACATTTAATTTTTAGCAGTTTCTCTCTAATCTTATATGATCAGACCTCTGTAGATGGGAGTTTGTTAAACTATATGCCACTATACTTTTTATTTATCCAGTAGCTTGCCTTTTTGTAAAGCTCTTTTTCACAATTGAAACAAACCGCAGTACGTGCTTTATTTTTCCAGTGAGCTGGATTACCACGACGTGGCTGCTGTGAACCAACGCTGCCAGAGCATCTGTGACTTGTGGGACAAGCTGGGAACCCTGACTCAAAAGAGGAGAGAGTCACTGGAGGTGAGGGCAATATTCAAAGATACTTTTTTTTATTATTGCTTGTGCCTAAAACAATGACTCATTTCCTTTTTTTTAATGTTGTGATAAATTAGTAGGTTTCCCCACAAGAGTGCGCTAATGTTCCATATGGACTACAATAGATGCAGAATGGAGTTGAATCTAAGACCAGCTTAATCAAAATATCAGTGTAAGCATATTTAGGTGCCTGTCAATGACATTTCAAAAGTGAAGACATATCGGATTGATGAGGAGAGATAATTGGATCCCCTGTAAAATCCCTGACCCAGATAGGATGGTAAAATGGGAGGGTGGAGGGGGTAAAGGAGAAATAGATCTAAGAGGTCCTATCCAGAAAGTGACTGGCTAAAAGCCCACTAGCCACTTCCTCTGATCTGTGTTGGCCATTCCAAACCTGCAAATGTGTGAGGGCCTGGGAAAAGGGCCAAGGATTAAGTCTGAATGACAGTGACAGAGGTCTGTTTTCTGTCCATCTTCCACTCCCCGCCATTCCCTGTATGGGTGGGTGGGGTGGGGGAGCTCGGACTCTGTCAAGAACAACCAAGGGGGTGGGTTAACAAGGCCATACCAATGTTATGCACCCTGGGATTAGTAATCAAAACAGGTGAAGGGATGTTTGTTTTGGGATTTGTATGTGCGATATGAAGATGACTCCTTAGTTCATGGTGATAATGGTAGAACCTTTTGCTGAGCTTTTGTTTTTTTCAGGATTTAAAAATATACAACAGATATGTGATATCTTGTAATCCTCTCAGCGGACAGATAAGCTGCTGGAGACTATTGATCAGTTGTTCTTGGAGTTTGCCAAGAGGTCGGCTCCGTTCAACAACTGGATGGAAGGAGCTATGGAGGATCTGCAGGACATGTTCATAGTGCATACAACCGAAGAGGTCCAGGTACTCACAGCGCTGTAGATTAACTTACTGCTATTTTTGAGATACTAGTTTCATTTCACTGTATTTCTGCTGTTGAGATCAACCTGCTCAGTTTCCCTATGATTATGATTCACGTTTGGATGTTATATAGCCAGTAATGTCAGTAAATCTGTCACACCCCAAAGAAAACCACACAATGCTGTCACTCTCGACAAAATTGAAATTTTAATACAATTTCAGGACTTCCCTTTTCCCATTCCAGAGTCTAATTGCAGCTCACGAGCAGTTCAAAGCTACTCTGCCTGAGGCGGATGCAGAGAGACAGGCCATCATGGGAATCCACAGTGAGGTGCAGAAAATTTCCCAGAGCTATGGGATCAAGGCCAACATTATCAACCCGTACAGCACCATCACAATTGAGGAACTTCTCAACAAGTGGGAAAAGGTAGCTACAGCTTTAAAAGTCACTTACAGACTCGTATATTGAAGAATAAAGTCATTACTCAGACAGAAGCTGTCTGGCTGTATAAAAATGTTAATTATGAAATGGGGGGAAAAAGGAGTGTCGTATCTGTAGTCCAGTGATAAAGTTAAGTGCCGCTCTTATGTTCAATCACTGAGTTGAAGGATTCAGCACCCACTATCAAGTATCTAAATCATATAATCCAAATATACTAGCGTAATTATCTTTAATGTTAATAGCTCTTTTCAAGAGGATCCATCTTCTCACAATTACAAATAAGCCCTTTCTTTGTGAATGTGTCCGTTTTCTAGGTGAAGAAGCTGGTTCCTCAGAGAGATGGTGCCCTTCAGGAGGAGATGGCACGCCAGCATGCCCATGAGAGGCTGAGACGGCAGTTTGCTGCCCAGGCTAATCTTATTGGACCCTGGATACAGGCCAGGATGGAGGTTAGACATACAGGCTTCAAAAGCAATTTGACAGTTATCTCCATCTAATCCAATAAAGACATGAAATGGAAGATAATTATATTCAAATGCATTGTATATAAGGGGGGTACAATGATGGTGGTTTTCCTGATAATGATGATAATTGAATAATGTCAAATATTATTATTAAGAACATATATTTTTTTTCTTCATTAAATGCTATATGTCCTGACAGAATTTACTCTTAGCCACAGGTAAATGACTTCCTGCAGTATCAGTGAGGAAACCATCTAGTCTGTAAACCAGCATCTTATCATCTAAATTGGTCTGCAAATTAAGTTGACCTTGTTGCATGTGTTATGCTAATAGGAAATTGGGCGCTGCTCCCTGGAGATAGGAGGCGCCCTAGAGGACCAGATGACCCAGCTGAAGCAATTTGAGCACGTCATTGTTGCATACAAGCCCAATGTCGACAAGTTGGAGGGAGACCACCAGCTGATCCAGGAGTCGCTTGTGTTTGATAACAAACACACCAACTACACTATGGAGGTACAGGGCCGTGGCAAACAGCAGTACAAGACTGTGTATGCACTTGCAGTATTTACATAAGATACTCATTGCAGCTCTTGGATCAACATACATTTAGATATTCTGTTTTTAAACATTTAAATATTCATTGAACTGCACAAGGTTCAAGTTTCTCTGTGTCAACAAGTCTGCTCTGTCACCACATCAACAGCATATCCGTGTCGGGTGGGAGCTGCTCCTCACAACCATCGCCCGAACCATCAATGAGATTGAGACACAGATACTGACCCGGGATGCCAAAGGCATCAGCCAACAGCAGATGAATGAATTCAGATCCTCTTTCAACCACTTTGACAGGGTACAACTTTCTGCTAATAATTGTTAATATTTTTTTGTCCATTTGAGTGGCTGATCTAAGTGATCCAAAAGCAGAGCAAGGGGTGGTGGTAGCCTTGGATTTAGATATGGTCCTCCCAAATGTTAGCACTGAAACCCAAATGTCCTCTCTAGAGAGGTCTTGGTGTACAAGATGCTGAATTCTTACCAGACCCATGAGCAGTGCTCAGTAGCTGACCCTGCATTTGACCTGAAGTGATCTCTTGTGGAGTTGGTGGATGAATATTCTCCTTTGGCCCTCACAGATTACCACAATTAATGCACTGTAAACAGTAGCTGCTATTTTATTGTGGAATGTTAAGCCATATTTGGCTATATTTTATGTCTTGTAAGATGGTTGACCCATCCAAGTAGGGTGTTGCATTTTATTCAATCTGCAGGAATTCCACAGACTGACTGTTCTTCACCATACTGGAGTAAAAGCATGGATAATGCACCTGACAAATACAAACTTCAAAGTGGCAAAATATTGCTGTGTACTGATGTCTCGGATAAGAATGTTCAGTGTCCGTGTATAAAACTTTCAAGTTGTAGTCTGTATATGTGCAATATTACAGCTGCTGCTTTCCTGAATTTTTAAGCTCTTTTAAGTGCCATTATCATGAAATCTACAGCATCTTTAATGTGTTATCGCAAAAGACAAAAGATTAGGTGCTTAAAGCCTAAAGCTTTCCTCCTCAGTTATTTTATCATGATGCAAAACATTTAATTGTAAGTGTCAGATTTGGAAAAGGTTTGAAAACACTGCCCATTGAATATGTAGGATTTAGTCTTACCATATTGCTGCTATGTCTAATGCTTGACAAGCACATTGTACTGTATATGATGCACTTGGCTTGTTCCTCTGTTTAACTTCAATCATTTCTGTAATCTCCCGTCTCTATTTTCCTCATTTCCTGTACGGTGAACCTGAAATTTGACTTCCGATTGTAGAAGAAGAATGGCGCAATGGAAACTGATGACTTCAGAGCCTGCCTCATCTCTATGGGTTATGACTTGGTATGGTAATTCAAATGTTGGTGGGTGGATGGGGTTATGTTGTAAGTTGCGCTCACATTTTATTGTTTACTGTACAAACTCTTCTCAATCGCCATTTCTCAGGGCGAGGTGGAATTTGCCCGTATAATGATGCTGGTGGACCCCAATGCTACCGGAATCGTCTCTTTCCAGTCTTTCATTGACTTTATGACCAGAGAGACTGCTGACACAGACACTGCCGAGCAAGTTGTGGCATCCTTCCGGATCCTGGCAACTGACAAGGTGTGTGTGTGTGTGCGACTTCCCAGCATATGGGCAGATATTCTTAGCCAGTACTAATCTACTCTATTCTAGTCATTATTTCCAAGTATTTGCCATGCCATGTTGATTTATGATCTACAATTTTGTTCACAAGTGTAAAATGGAAAAGGGCGTTATTAGCGTGAATCTTTCTGGAAACATGTCTGAAATGCATTTTCTTTCCACCACCACCAGCCCTACATACTAGTGGAGGAGCTGAGGAGAGAACTCCCCCCTGAACAAGCAGAGTATTGTATCATGAGGATGCCGCCTTACGCTGGCCCTGGAGCACCACCAGGGGCACTGGACTACACTGCCTTCTCCACTGCCCTCTACGGAGAGAGCGACCTTTAACCAGCTAAAAAAACCTTTAATCTACTGACCGTTTACCTAACAACAACCCCCCCCCACCCCCCCCCCCACCCAATCCCCTTGCTTTCCATCTCTTGATAAATTTAAGGAATATAAGAAAGTTGGATCAAATATGTTGAATGAAATGTGTTTTTGTTGATTAGTTTTCTGAATCATTAGACTGTCTACAATCATGCAGAGCATTGTCATGTGTCCTGATCCTCTTGGGATAAAACATGCCCCTGAAACAAACAGAAACTGCCATGTTCAAATGATCTTGTGAG